AGAGAGAGATTGACTCAAGACACAGCCTAATCCTGTAGATTACATCTGAGCTCATTAACATCATAGATGTGAGGATTTACAACATAGGATAATTAAATTAGATCAGGGCTTAGCACATCAAATCATAACATAAGGTTGGTTGTCTTCCATTAAATCTCATTGTGGATATGATAACTACATTTAACTGCTAAACCACTGAGAATCCTGACCCAGCCAGGTTAACACAAAACCTTAGCTATCACAGTAAGTTATACAACTGATCACTGTTAGGACTCACATTCCTGTGGACAATCTTTCTCTTGACTATCTCCTGCATCAATTTGGGATATATGACTTGCTAACTCGATGGCTCAGAATCCTGTTGTTGGGCCTAAAATCTCAGAACATTGGAACTGAATAGATGTTTTTTAATTACCAAAATCATATCTGTTAGATTTTGGCTATACCAGCTGGGGTTCTTATAACTAATACTAAAAAAGACTACAAATCAGCATTTTGAACATTTTGTTGGTAGTGTGGCATTAATATTATTCTGAGATGGGTGGGCGCTCCAAGATTTAGAGATCTTGGAGAGGAGTTAATAAAGGAAACAGAGAGGTAGCCATTGGTAAGAAAAAATAAATTAATTTTGGCATGTCATAGAATAAGCGTTGGATTGCTAACTGCAATGTTGTCAGTTCAAACCCACCAGCCACTCCTTGGAAACCCTGTACAGGGTCAATATGAGTGGGAATCAAGTTGACAACACTTAACAATAACAATCCTAGAAAAGGTAATGTTTCCAGAATTAAGGAATAGTCATTCTCACAAACATAGTTGATAGGCCATAGAGAACAGATAACAGACTACTAGATACGGCAAACTGTACATCATAGAGAACAGAATATTTAACTGTAGGCTATTTGAAGCTTTGATAAAAACAGTTAACTGAAGTATTGGGTGCAAGTTTTCAATTATAATTATTTTAGGATAAAATATCAAGTGGAGCCCATGTTTGTGTTTTTGTTGTCATTAGACGTTGCCAACACATTTCTTAAAGTGATTTTTTTTGGACAAAATGAGGTGTGTATCATGACCACATCCTGGGGGAGAAACAGAGTCTCTAAGTGCTCTCAGTTAAACTTAAAGAATTACATTATTAATAAGGAAGAAAAAATACATAATGGAGAATAATTGAAAGCCTTTTCCACAAGCCTTTTTTTACTTTTGTTTGAACCAGAAAACTTCTTGCTTTTAGTTCTGCATTTCTGAATTGTTCAGCTCTGTGTGTTCTTACTGAACAGTGTTCAGTCCCAGACTTTGTGATTTTGCCATAGTTCATATCCTCTTCACGTTTCTCTTCACATAAGTCTTTCTGTGGATCAGATGACACCGTGAGTGAATGCTATCACATTCTTGTAAGTTCTTTCTAAACAATATGAACTGCTGTCAATTCTGACTCCTGGCAGCCCCTTGTGTGTCAGAGGAGAACTATGCTCCATAGCAATTAAAAAAAAAAAAAGTAAATAGCCAATCCTTTCTTCTAAGGTTCCTCTGGGTGGATCTGAACCCCTAACCTTTTAGTTTGCAACTGAAAATGTTAAATGTTTGTACTACCTAGGAACTCCAAGCAGTCTCTGTTGTTGTTGTTAAGTGCTGTCAAATAGGTTATGACTCATAGTGACTCTGTATAGGGTTTCCAAGGAGCCATTGGTGTTTGAACTTGTGGGGTTTGAACTTGTGGTTAGCAGTACATTGCTTACCCTGAAGCACCACATGAGAACTCTCGAACCTGTGTCCATAACATTGTTATTCCAAGTTTGACCCATGTGACAACATCAGCATTGCCAGGGAGCTTGTTAGAAATGTACCATTTCAGTCTTCTTCCTACATCTTGGCTCAACTGAATCAAAACCTTCAGTTTAACAAGAGTCTCCAGCTGACATATGCCACATTGCAGTCTGAAAAACACTGCTCTTGAATGATACACACCTCAGGGTACTTTGTTCAAGTAGAAAACCAATGTTTATTTAAAGATGCTCTTATCTTCCATCACCTTCCCCATCATCAAGGAATGTGGCACAGAAGGGTGCTCACTTTTCTCCCATTTCTCACTAAGGCATAGGCCCTGTTGTTTCAAATAACAGGACCTTTATTTCTGGAACTCTTTCTTCATGTTGGGGAGGGTAGGAAGCATGTCTGTCTCACTTTGTGCTATCTAGCCTCACCAGTTATACAAAGGAAAAAAACAAAACAAAACAAAATGTGTTTGCTTCAAAAGTCTATCAAATTACCCTCACCTGACTCTGATTATTAACCCATGACTATATTTTTAGTGTGTTATATCAGCCAGGCTTCAGTACAAGAACTGAAGGGATGTCAGCATCGTGAGTGAAAGGGAGTTGGGGGTGTATTGAGGGGCAGATGAAACCTAGGGAAATAGCCTGGTTTTATTTAATCTGATCCCAAATGAGAATGTTCAAGGGAATATCCAAGATGTGATGTTGATATCTTTATCAAAATGATCAAGACTCAAGCCAGAACAACAAAATATCAAATGTTCAAAAGTCAAATTAGAACTTGGTGTGTTTGTGAGTGCACAAGGACTATTCAAAGTGGCATGAATCCTGGAACCTTTGAAATAGTCACTATATGCT